ACAAGAGGCCACCCTGCTGCTGGTCTCACTTCCTGTGTTCCACTCCCGTTTCCTCCTTCATCCCAACCCTTCCCCTCCTTTGGCACAGCTGACCATGGCCGCAGCTCCTACCTCAGCCATTGCCAGGTCCCCACCCTCTACCGCCATTTGGCCTGAGCTACCATACTGAAAGCGAAAGGAGGAGTTGGAACAGAAAGAAAAATAATAAAACCACAGAAAGAGAAGAAACAGCTGGCAGAATACTGGAAAAATTCCCAGGCGGGAATCCCCAGCTGTCAAGGTCTATGCCTGGCTGAGGATATTCTTAAAGGGCAATCTTGAAATTTGTTGTTAACATTGTTGCCAACTCACAAGAGTACCTGACCCCTGGACCCCACCCTGCCCCAGAGGGGATATATGCATGAAGTTGGAGTTGTGTATGGAGGGTCAGAGCAGAGGGAGGGAGGGAGGGGGAGGGGAGGGCTTAGGGACACACAGTGGGGGCATTGTGCCTGAGGATCCAGGCTCTTCTGGGAGTCCAGGGGACAGGACTTTCCCTGAGACAGAACCCAGCAAGGAGAAGGCTTGGCAAAACCGTGTAGCCAAGAGGGCGTGCGTGCAGGTGCAGGGAGGGGGACTCTAGGAGGCTGCACTGGCAGCAGCTGAGTGGTGGCAGCCAAAATAAAGTTGGCTGCTCTTACCTAAACCGGAGTGAAATTTTATATCCGTTCAGGAAACATGGCTGAAAACTGGAAAAGGTTGAAACAGGGATCTGGCTTGTGCTTCTGCAAGTCTGGAGCAGGCATGGCAGTGGTTGGCAGGCAGGGAGGCAAAGGCAGTGGTATCACCCACACAAAAGCAGGGCTCCAGCCATGCACAGAGACCTGCAGGCTGGCCACCAAGAGGGGCTGGCATTGGGATTTCTGATGAAGAAATGTGAAGGGACCTGCAGGGCAGGGGTGGAGATGAGGGGACAGGGGATGGGGGAGAATGGGAGTGGGTCTGCGACTTAACCTGAACCCTGGGTTTGAGGATTAGCTGATGGAGTTTGGAGAGAAGGACCAAGACTGGACATTGCGTACATCATCACATCTTCTGGCCAAGTCTGGGAGACCCTTAGAGCCCCTTTGTTTTGGGCTCAGGACTTGACCCACCAGAAAGGCCCCCTCACCCCTCATGATTTGCAGTTAATGATAATACAAAGAATAATCCACAGTAAACTGGTAGTCAGTCCTCTTTGCTGAGGGCAGAATAATTTCTACCAAGTTCATTAATTCCAGACAAACTATGACCTAAGGAATGTCCCAGACCTTATCTACTGATTCTTCTCTGTCTTCACTCCTTTCCCCCTACTCAGTGAGGCCAGAGGGATTCACTGCCCCCTGAACCCCCAAATCCTTACAGCCACATGCCTCTCCAGTTGACTGCACACAATGCCCCCAGATCCCTACTCTCCCTGCCCACCATTCACACCATCCAGACCAGACCATGTTACCTGGCAACCTGACCTCTCACCCTTTCTCACTGAGGTTAGTGGAGTAGTGGAATGTCTCAGTGAGAGCATGGGCTCTGAGTTTGAATTCTGCCTCCACCACTCAGTGCCAACACTTCCTCATCTGTGGACTAGAGATAATAACCATACCTATGTTATGTGGATGTTTTAAGGATTAAATGAGTAAATAAAGTACTTAAGACAGTGCTAGGTATGTAGTAAGCTCTCAATAAATGTGAGCTATTATTATTTATATTGTTGCTATTCACTACGCTGTCCATAGAGGAGGGATTTTTGTTTTGTCACCAACTTCATCCGGGTGACTCGAACAGTGTCTAGCACATAGTAGACGCTTAATGAATGTGTGTTAATTTATTGTTGTAAATTCTCTGTTCTAACCTAACTCTTCCCTGTAACACACTTTATACATTTGTACCTCAATGCCTTTGCTCATGCCATTCCTGCTTCTTCAAGGGCCTTACCCCATCCAGTGTAATTCCTCCTACTACTTTGAATTTCCAGCTCCAGCTTCCCCTCCCCTCAGAGGCCTTCCCCGGACTCAGAACCTGCACAAAACAAGCACTCAGTAAAGCCTCAGTGGTTTGTGGCTGGTGTTTTTTAACGCTTTGGCTCCAAAACAGAGTTTCCTTGCTGACTTGGCACTTAATGTTCACCACCTCCTGGGGTGGCCCCTAAGAAGTGGAGACCCCCAGCTACTATATATGTCCTTTATCTTGTGGCTTTGACATTCAGAGTGCTTCCCAAGTGAAGCCACCTGAATAACTAGACATAACTAGACACGTGGTCTCTAAACCAGTTTCTGGGCTTCCTAATTGGTGAGTTGAGAGACACGGCATCTGTTTGCCCAAGAAATACGAGCCAGGCAGCTCTACGTCAGTAGGCCACTTTACGCCCTGCACGGGGCAACAGCTGCCTGTAACTTGGCTGTCTGTGCACTAAAAAAAGAAATTCCATGGTGACCAGTTGACTCAAGCCAGCTCCCAATGTGAGGCGGTAGTTTCAAAGTAATCCCTGGTGACACCAAATGCTCTCCACCCAGTCCTTAATAAGAAGGAAAAACAAGGGCAAAACTTGAGCGCGAGTTTGCGTGAGTCAATATTCTAAACTGCCTGGAGTGTGCGGTGTCAGCTGGAGTTGGATCTAGAAGGTTGTAGGCCTAACAGCCTCTTCCAGGCAAGCTTGTCCCCTGCAAACTCCCCCCTTCCCCAGAGACAGGGCACTGCCACTTCCTGAAGGACCACAGCACCATCAGGAAGATCCTTTTCAGAAGGCCGAGGGTGGGCGGAGAACAGGAGATTGACCTTACTAGTGGCATTTATGGACCAGGCTGTCCATGGGCCTCCTTGAATAGCATAATTTCATGTTTTCTCCACAACCAGCAGGCACACACTCATCACACATTAGGCCTTCTTCTCATACATTACATACATAGCTCTCTTTTAATCCTCACACACAGCCAGGAAGGCAGGCCCAATTATTTCTGCCATTTTACAGGTGGTGAACCTGAAGCCCAGGAAGGTTAACTGTTCTACCTGCACCATTTGAAAATGGCCAGGCTGGTTGGAACCTGGGCCCAGAGTCCATTGTCTGAGTCTAGAACTAAGCGAAGTTTAGTATGTGCCCTTCCCATCCCAAGAGAGCACCACCACCGCCTCTCCAATACCATTGCCATGCTTCCTGCCTTCCAGTCACTACTATCTGTGTGAACTTTGTGCTCTGCCCTTATTGACCCAGAAGTGCTTCCTGATAAAGAGGGCATCACCAGTTTTATAGTTTCCTCCTAGCCTCTCTGGCAACACCTGAGCCTGCTGCTTCCCTCTTCCCCCACCCCCAGACTCATAGTCACACACTCACACTCAATGTACAGTCACACACTCAGCATTACACTAGTCACACACACACACCAGACATACTCAATCATACACGTTCACCTATAGACACACATACAGACAGAGTCACTCACCACTGTGGTGGTTCATGGGTGAGGACTACTTTCTAGAAAATCATGCCTGCCTCTCCTTAATGCCCTTTCCCAGCCACTGGAGTTACAGGCTTCTGCCTCATTTCATGTTTAATAAATGAGCCACTCTCGCTCTTTAAGGACCATGGTCCCCCCTCTTCCTGTGCTCACAGGCAAACCTGGATATCCTCTGTATGGAGTTGAGAACCAGCTTTCTTCACCATGCTGCCACCTTGTGACCCGAGCCCAGAACTGTGGGCTCTGTGCTCAGGGGATACCCGCTTCCCTGGGAGGTTCCAGTCGCCAGGTGGGCTGTTAGGGGAGGTCTGCATCCAACTGTCCCATCTACAGTGGGCAAGCTGAGTAAATGAAGATGCCCTCTTCCTTCACCTGATCTTCCCAGGCACAGTCCGTTGGCATGGGAGATGGGTGGGTGTGCCACTTGGACCAGTGTGTGGTAGGCTTGAGCTCACAGACATACGTGTAACTGGCTCTCCCCTTGACCTGACTCACTCCACTCAGGGACACTTCCAGGCCTCTGCCTTTGGTGAGGCAGCCCAGGATGTGTGCCCGCTTTTCCTCCTTGAGCCCAGAGCCAATATGTTTCAGGCAAAGTGATTTCATCTCGTGTCTTATTTTACTCAGTTTTATTTTTGGCCCTCCAGTGCAGTGGGATGAGTCAATCCTACTCCCCAGATGATGGCTCACAGTCATCACTAATCCTGGCTTGTCCCCTCTTGTTTTATGTATTCCCCTTTACCGTGTAGGTCACTCCCAATCCCCTGCTGCGTAGGCAGCCATTCTAGTATATCCTTTTATTTGTATGTATTCTAAGTGCAGGGTTTTGTAGGTATGTGTTATCACACAGCATTGCCTAGTGCCTTATTCTTTCATTACCATTTTCCTAACAGTGTTATTTAAAGTGTTTGGGAAAGGATTAATGGATACAATGTGTCCGAGAGTGGAAGTGCCTTAAGTGTTCACTGAGTCTCTCTGCATTAGTGATTATGGAAGTGACTGCACTTTTTCACTGAGTTGTGTTTCCTAGAACATAACCTCAGGATTGTGGACCATGGGTGCCCCGACTAGGCGAGGCTGCCCAGAGGCCTGGATCCTCACCTCAGTTCTGCCACAGACTTACCAAGACATCCTGCAGGTTTTTCACCCTCTGACCCATGGATTCCTTATCTGCTAAACAGTCCTTAAACTAAGGCCCTTCTAAGGGCCCATCTACCTTGAATAGTCTTTGACACTCAGAAAGGTGTTGTCTAGGATTCACCAGCCCTAGAATTCATTTATTCATCTAATGGACTGTCTAGGTTCCAATTCCAGCTTCCCCACTTGCTGCTGTGTAATACTGGGCAAGTTACTTAACTGTGCCTCTTTTTTAACCTGAAGACAGTAATAACACCTAGTCTCTGAGGGTTGCTGTGAAGACTAAATAAGTTAATGCCGGTGAACAGTGCTGGGCACCTACGAAGCTTTCATTAAAGATTGTTGTTTTTTTCCATTTAAATCCTATAATAGCCCCATGTTCCTGTTTTACAGATGACAAGACCAAGGCCCAAGGAGCCAAGTAATGTGCACAGGCTTGTAATACAGTATTGCTGGAAGCCAACAGAAGCTAAATCCAGGTCTCCAGACTCTGAATGCTGTGCTCTTCCCACCAGAGACAGCCATAGGACTTCGAGCCCCATTGTGCAACCTGGAAATGTTATGCAAAACCTTCTTGATGCTGCTCTGAATGACGAAAGGTGACCCAGTGGCCATTGCACAGACAACTTCTGGCCCTGGCAGTGTTCATTTCTCATTGGCATCCTTCTCCTTTACACCCACTGGCCTTCTCTGAGAAAGAACTTGCTTCCTCCAGGGGTTTCGTGGGTATCCATGCAGCCTCTGAATCAATGTGAATCCCAATGCCAGCCCTGCTAATAGCACATACACACAGCTGAGATGTGCTGGAAGAGCTTGGGCCTAAGGAGTCAGGCCTTGGGTTCTAGTCCTGGCTGTGGCATTTCCTTACTCTGAGGTAAGTTATTTACCTTCTCTAAGCTTCAGTTTCCACATCTGTGCAATGGGAATAGTAACTATTAACAGAGTTGTTTGAGGACTAAGTTTTCAGAGACTATTCAGATCTTAGTCAAATATTAACACTTGCCTGACCGCTGTAGAACAAAAAGGCTGTTAAAAAGTCTGATGCCGCCTTGGATGAATTGTCAGCCGCTGTATGCATTTAACATTTTTCCTTTCCCCTCCAGGAAATAGACTGTCTGGACCTGCCATCCTTATAGAAAACCTTATTCTTTTTCTGGTCTTGGCAAGTCCTAGTGAGTGCTGGAAAAGACCTTGCAGGCCATTTGGTCCCAGTGTAGCAAACTTGTATCTGATCAAGGGGTGCCTCTGCCTGAAACAGTGGATGAGGCTGAGTCAGAATTCAGCTGGAAGGACACTGTGGGCCATTTTCAGGGAACTAAGATCCCATGTGCCACAGGCAACTATGCCTGCACGCCACAACTACTGAGCTTGCACACCTCAACTAGGGAGCCTACGGGCTGCAAATTACAGAGCCCACGTGCTCTGGAACCCGAGCGCCACAACTACAGAGCCCACGTGCCCTGGAACCTGCACACCACAACTAAGAGAAAACCCACACACCACAACTAGAGAGAAGCCTGTGGGCCACAACTGGAGAGAAGCTTGCAGGCTGCAACGAAGATTCCTCATGCCGCAACTAAGACCTGATGCAGCCAAAAATAAATAAAAAATTTAAAATATATATATATTTATTTTTCGCTGCATCGGGTCTCCATTGCTGCATGCGGGCTTTCTTAGGTTGCATCGAGCAGGGGTTACTCTTCGTTGTGGTGCACAGGCTTCTCATTGCGGTGGCTTCTCTTGTTGCAGAGCACGGGCTCTAGGCACACGGGCTTCAGTAGTTGTGGCTCGTGGGCTCTAGAGTGCAGGCTCAGTAGTTGTGGCACACGGGCTTAGTTGTTCCGCGGCATGTGGGATCTTCCCGGACCAGGAAGTCCCAAAAATAAATCTTAAAAATAAAGTGAGGGAAAAGCCCAGAAGGACAGTACTTACGTGCTTGCAAGACTAAGGACAGTGCCAACCCAGTATCCCTGGGAAAGCAAAACTGAGGCACCTAAAAACCCTACTTAGGGCTTCCCTGGTGGCGCAGTGGTTAAGACTGCCAACACAGGGGACACGGGTTCAAGCCCTGGTCCGGGAAGATCCCACATGCCGCGGAGCAACTAATCCCATGCACCACAACTACTGAGCCTGCACTCTAGAGCCCACGAGCCACAACTACTGAGCCCACATGCTGCAACTACTGAGGCCCGTGTGCCTAGAGCCCATGCTCCACAACAAGAGAAGCCACCGCAACAAGAAGCTGGAGCACCACAACGAAGAGTAGCCCCCGCTCACCACAACCAGTGAAAGCCCATGCGCAGCAACAAAGACCCAACGCAGACAAAATAAGTAAATAAATTAATAATAATAAAAAAAAACCTACTTAGGTGAGTTGTTTACTCACAGCCTGCCCACTCCCAGGACTGGGCAGGCTGCAAAATAGGAATTTATCTTCAGTGGGGAATGGTTTTGAGTACCTCAAGTCATCATGAGGGAAATACGATATCATGGGCACAGGCTCCCTGCACACATGGGGGTTCAGGAGCAGGTGTCTGAGACTCACCTGTGGACACCTCAGTGCACGGCACCTCTGAGGCCCCTCCTGGTCCTGAAACGAGTGCTGGGCTCGGACTCACAGGCTGTGGGTTTCAAACCTGACTTAACCTTCCTACTGTCTTCGTGACCTTGGGAAAGGCACTTCTTCTTTCTGGATTCAGTTTCCTCATTTGCAAAGTGGGGCCATGATATCACCTCTCTAACACTCCCTAAACACAAATGAGGACACTTCCCATTCCGAGCACACAGAATAAAGAAAACAGGATAGAAAAAAACTTAGGAAAACCAGAAACTATTGGGTCCCTTTCTTCCTTTTTTGTTTATGTATTCTCTCTTTTTTCTACCACATCATGGATTACCTTTGAATTAAAAATGAGTAATTAAAGGGGATGGAGTAGAGCTCATGTGAAAAACGCTGAGCTTGGCAACTTTTGGGACTTCCTTTGTGCCAGGCAGAGTTGTTGAAGCTTTACACGTGTTACCTCAGGTTTTGTCCCAACAAGCCTGGAAGGGAAGCAGTGTAGCTCCCACTTCTTAGATGTGGGTACTGAGTTCCCAGAGAAGTCAAAGGCTTCACTGTCACGAGAGGCCACGGTGACGTGCCAGGAGCGGTTATACAAATGCACAACGATTTGATCAAGGTCATCCCTTCAACTCTGGAAGAAAGCAGAACCTTCTCCCTCTCCTGCAACGTGACCATAGAGCCTCGAAGAAGAGCCTTTCCCAGCAGAGCGATACTCTACGAACCTGCTTCTGGGGCACCTGTTCTGAGTCAAGGTCAGGTTAATTTATTATTAAATAACAGCCTGTGTCTAGCCAAAGGTTTCAGTGTCTGAACCTACTTTTAAAACATTTGTTTCTGTATAAAAACATTGCTTGCTCATGGTATTCTCTTCAGTAGCAACAGAATGCATTCTGTAAACAAAAATGCTAATATACTGTGATTAAAAATACCTCCTAGGGCTTCCCTGGTGACGCAGTGGTTGAGAGTCCACCTGCCGATGCAGGGGACGTGGGTTCGTGCCCCGGTCTGGGAAGATCCCACATGCCGCAGAGCGGCTGGGCCCGTGAGCCATGGCCGCTGAGCCTGTGCGAGCGGAGCCTGTGGTCCGCAATGGGAGAGGCCACAACAGTGAGAGGCCCGCGTACCACAAAAAAAAAGAAAAAATCTCCTAATAATGACTTAATATGCTTCTCTGAAAAAAAGAGCAAATTAAATTTTTAAATGTCTTGCCATTTGTAAGCAAATTGCATCTTTCAAAAGGCAAATGCTGATAAATGGTATTTTTGAAATCCTGGTGGTAGGTAGCCCACCTGTTCTCCCATGCTCCAGAGGCACCATCTGCTGCCAATGTGTCTGCGCCCTGGTAACACAGCACCCCACCCCATCATGCCGCCCCACCCTGATACTGAAACTGACGTTGATGGGGCAATGCTCTGAGCTGCCCAGGGGGATGGGACAGACAAGTCCCATTGTGGCCTGGAAAACCCTCCTTAAAAGAGCCAACACCATTCCCAAGCTCACAGGTGTCTGCCTGTTGCTCAAGAGTCCCAGTCTGGCCACAGTGAGGGAAGTGATGAAAATGAGCAGAGGATCAGGAGACAGCCTTCACGGCTGGCACAGGCACAAACCACTGCATGAATCAGACCTGCACTGACTCCTGGAGCCAGGTACTGTTTGCCCTCCGTCTGAGGCTTTATCTGCCAGGGAGATGGGCAAGCAGCCAAGGGCCCTCTCAGGTGAGGGGTTGTACAGCCAGGCTGTGGCATGCTGCCACACCAGATGTCGACTGGTCTCTCAGAAGGAGCACTGGGCTGGGACTCAGGAGGCTGAGTGCCCAGAGATGGCCCTAGCTGGGCCCCATGAGTCTGAGCAACTCACTCCCCTGTCCCTTCACCTCAGGCTCTTTGTCTGCAGAGTAAAGACGAGGGCAGCATAAGGAATTCTCACATGGTGCTACAGGAGTCTCACAGACATTTGTTTGTTTAAAATATATACATGTGTATCTAATGATTTTTCAAAGTATTTTTTTAAACATTAAACCCGTTCAACCATATGGCTATTAATATACTGAAGTGAATCTGTGTTTCTAGGTGGTTTTGGGGTAGACCTTCCTATCCTGTCACTTATGGGATTGCAAAATGAGGTGTTTTAAAATGTTACCTATTATATTCACTTCTCTGTACAACCAAAACAGGAAAAACTGGGTTCTGAGGTCAATCTAATACCGCATTCATCAAAACAACATTATTTTTCCTATCTTTATAAGTGAATATTATCTACTAGAACTTATACTTTTTATAACAATATCATTTAAATTGTTTTATATATTTTATAGTTATTATATATAAGATTTCATTCCAAAAAGATTTGGCTAGTTTTCAAGTTTGAAAATCACCAATCTCTGATGAACTCTAAGTTCCCCTCTAGCTCTGACTTTCTACCAATCTCCAATTCTAAACCCTGAATAAATTCATGGGGTCTTAAAGTTGTCAGTCCATGTAAAATCTTGAAGTTTCATGCCTTTGCTTTTATGCATGTGGTTTCTTTCTTTATATAACCAGCTTTCTATGCCAATCCCATTCTTCAACACTTAGCTCAAGTGCAACCTCTTCTACGCAGAACACTTAACATGGGTCTTGGACCTAAGCCTTGGTTTCTTCATCTGCAAAATGAGAAACTGCCCTCAAATGGTGAGTTTTAAGTGAGCTGGTGGTATATATATGTAAAACATTTAGTAAAATGCTGGCATGAGTTCAAGGAATGCTAATTATTATCACTATTGTCTTTATTACTATCTTTATTGTTACTATCATAGTGGAAAAAAAAGACTTTGGAGTCAGTGGAGATGCAATTCTACTAAACAGGTATGTGACCTCAGGCAAAGAATTTGGCTTAGTATTCTCAACAGGGCAGTACTGCCTCCTAGTGGGTGCCTGGGGAACTGATTTTTTTTTTTTTTTATGGTGGTCACACTGGCCAGGGAGCTAACTGACTTTAGGGGAAGGGGACAGAGGTACTCGATGTCTGGTACACAAAGAATTACCCATGCCCACGGGTCTGAACCAACTACAGGTAGAAAATATTAAAAGCACCTGCATAAAGCCATTAAAGAAAGAATGATTAAATGGAATAAAGCCACTGTCTAGAAGTAATTGAGTACTTTACCCTGTGCATTTGCACTAAATTTTTTTCTAATTGTCATTCCCCTTCTATCAAAGGATATATACTATTTAATACTTAAACTGTGTTTAAGTGCCAGGAACTGTTTTAAGCACATTTCATGTATTAATTCACTTAAACCTTCATAACAACCCCATGGGATAGGTACTTTTTAATTTACTCCCCTCCCCCTGCCCCATGTTGTGAGGTTTGGTTTTTTTGTTTGTTTGGTTTGGTTTTTTGGCCTTGCAGCATGAGGGATCTTAGTTCCCCCGACCAGGGATCCAACCGTGCACCCTTCAGTGGAAGTGTGGAGTCTTTTTTTTTTTTTTTTTTTACTTTAATTTGCATTTATTTTTTGCAGCATTTATTCCCAGGCCATAAGTTTTTGTTTCTTCAATTTCTTCTGGGGTATCTTTTTCTTCTGGGCAACCTCCTCTTCTGATTTAGGAACAATCTGTTATTTTTCAGTAAGGATCATCTCAATGTGGCAGGGAGAGCTCATGTATGGGTTGATCCGACCATGAGCTCTGTAAGTCCTGTGCCGCATCTTGGGGGCTTTGTTCACCTGGATATGCTCAATGACCAGAGAATCTACATCTAAGCCCTACAGTTCAGCATTACTCTCTGCATTTTTGAGCATGTGCAGTAAAAATTAAGCACTCTTTTTGGGCCACCAACCCTGCGTCCAGCCCCACTGTTTGGCCTGGGCACACCTACCAGCTCCACCATTGTAACAACGGAATGGCACACATTGCTTCTTTAAGGTAACATCCTTCAGATACTTGGTGGCTTTTCGGATATGCATACCCTCAATGGCCTGGGCTGTTTCACGAGTGTTCTTAAAGTGAACACGAAGATTTGAACCTCTCGACTTGCATGATTTTGTGGGGTTTTCTGGGTCAAGTGAATAGCGAACCATTTTTAGAGGTCACCTCAGGCTGCTGACCGGAAAAGAAGTG